TCAGAAGTCGGAAGTCGATCAGCAACCGTAACGACCCGTTCGGTTTGACTATGAAGAAAGCTGTAGAGACCATTTCCGAGTCGTATATCTGCTCGAGGACGTCTTGGCTGACCAATCGCTGGATTTCTTTTTTGGCTTTGGCTTCCATGCTCCGTACAATCGCGTACGGTTTTGCATGCACGGGCTTAAAGTCAGGAGACAGAGGTAGCACGTAGTCGTCGAACTTCATTATGCACATATGTCAGTCGTATAGATGTGCGTACTGCTGCAGGAGATGCAGGTAGCGTGCAGCTAATTCTCCATACACCGTGTCTGGCATCAACTCAGTCGGTTGGACTGCATCGTCGCTTGTCTCCTTGTACTCATCGGGGAGCCCGGGGTCGATATTCGTATCCAAAGCCCAGTAACCGGAGAGCCCATGTTCAGCGCCGTCCCATTGAGCGATTTTATCCTTGAAATTGAGCACACTGTCCAGTGCTTCCATCAGATCGCGTCCAATGATCATTGGGTCTCGTGCTGCTTTCAAGGACCTCAAACCGGTGGGTAATTTGGTCCGACGGGTTGAGCTTGGCGAATTTGAACTGCACGATGGCGCCACCGTCACTCTAGACTGGACCACTTGCTGTCTGAAAGGTTGTGTTGGACGCGACTTGTCTGCGTCTGTGCTTGGCGATAGCTTCCATAGCTGCCGCGTTGATTACACTCTTTGATGATCCACTATCCAGGAGGGCTTCGATAGTGGAGTGTTCGCCACGTAGCTGCACGTCAATGCGCAGTGGCACCTTTGTTGTAGAATGCTTTTTATTTACCAGACTGATGAACTTGAACTTTTCGTCGCTGGCCTCACTGTCCGCTTTGTACACCTTTGGGTACTTCTTCGACTATGCGACTTCTTAGTTTCAGCTTGCTTGTGTTCGGCTTGTTGCTGCTTCTTAAGTACGAAGCAGTCACTGGTGTTGTGGGATGAGGTCTGGTGGTGTGAGCACCATTTACCCTGTCCTTTCTGTGCTGGTGCAGCTGCGTTCCCGTGCTGGTTCCTGTCGTTGCCGCTCTTGTGTCGCTCCGAGTGGTTGGACTTGCTCGGCTGGGAGTAGCGAGAAGACTTCTGCTGCTAATTGCTGTTTTTGTCCTTCGAGATGGACTTCTTGCGCAATTCAATGCGCTCGAAGTACTGAAGTAAATCACTCATTCATTCGTGGGCGATTCCAGACGCGGCAAGTTTGCCTTGCCACGCGTGAGGCATGACACGCTTCAGGAAGCGGCACTACTGTACCTCGGGGATACTTTCAGCGCTCACTGGTAGCTCAGCGAACATACGCACGAGTTCCTTGAGCCATCAGCTGACTTGCTGTACTGACTCGTTCGAGCGCTTGGTTAGGTTCCAAAGCTCTTCGTCGAGGGTCTCGCTGTAGTCGAGAGAGACTAGTTGTGGGCCGATACTCTCGTAGAACTGGGAAAAGGAGAATCCTTCCTGCGCCGTCTGTCTCGCAGCATCTTCGACATCGTTCTTCATCTCACCGTCGAGTAGTAGGAGAAGTTGTAGTGCTGCTTGTTCGACGTTCCAGCCTTTCTGTTGGGCTAGACTCTTAAAGCGCACGCTCCATCGCAGCCAGTCCTTGGCATTGCCGCCGTAGAAGGTAGGGATGATGATCTTGGCGGTGTCGGCCGGAGCACACTCAGTCGCTGGACTCGTGACGATAGTGTAGGTGACGTAGTCGTTCTAGCCTTGAGACTGTCGCACCATCTTGGAAGGTCTTGAGGGATTGATTCGTTCCAAATTTGATATATCAAAATGACGCGCCTTGGCTAGCAGAGGACACGCGGATCGGGTTTGAGTCGACTCGGACTTGTGTAGCGGCCTTGGCTGACCGAGGGTCCCTTGAGTACAGACAACGACGGTGAAAGTCAACCCCCCCCCGTAAATATCTATTTTCAATACAAAATGAGAAAGGCCAACAAGACAACAAAAAAACTCGACCCCTTGCGCGGTATCACCTGCGTTTAAATTAAAGCAGCCCTTTTATTTTATTTTATTTTACTTGAGTCCAAATTTGCACTTGGAGGGGGGTCGAGGTTTTGTAGGGGGGGGCGGGGGGGGGGTAGTTTCACCGTCGTTGTCTGCATGTCGACTTGAGCTTGAGTTGGAAAAATTGAATATGAATGAGCGGCAAGGAGCGCTCTGTTTAAACTACTGCTACGCTCAAACATTCAAACTATTCAAACATTTGAAATGTTCTTCTTCTCGAGAAACTTGTTGCACCTTCTTGAGCTCTTATTTTTGTCTTTTTCCACAGGATTCATTCATATCAGGCAGGCAGTCATATCACTGTAAATATACTGGAGTCTGCGACTTAGTGAAACAGAGATAATACACTTTGATTTACTGAGCTGGTGGAAAAAGGTACTAGCCCGAGTGATGAAGGTGAACCGTCTCGCTTCCCCAAGTTGCGAGATTCACTTTGGCTATTCCGGCTTCAAGCACTATGTCGGAGAGCAATTTCTCCGACGCTGAAAATGCGTTCGGGGTAAAGCGAGCGATGTTGAGCTCTTCCGTATTAGATGACATTCTCGTAGCTAGATTCAATGCTGACCTGCTGTAGGTTATATTTCTACTTAAGTGTTACATTTTAACTTTTTATTTATTGAGGTAGTATTGTGGATTTCAATGCTTTTTCCATTTCACTTAGCCCGATGCTCGCTTTATAATAAATAGAGATCGTTTTATTAAATTGATGTCTATAAAAGTACAAATCGATCTAGCTTGACTGGCTGATAAATCGAGCTACGGCAGCCAAATCGTCCGCTCGGGATCGATCAACCACCAAACCCACATCGATATCCTGTAAATCGACCCGTTTTGCCGTTTTGAAGTGGTAATTCAATCACAGATAAAACAAATCGATGCCTCCCTCTTCCCATCTCATCTTGACGCGTAAGTTTAGTTTCATGCTCCAATCAAGCTCGATCTAGGCTATAAAACGGATGGACATTCCATCTGCAAAGCTCTACTGTACAGACATGGTCGGATTTTGGCTAACCGAAGTCATTTTAGCGGTCAGTCACGGACATCCGATTGATAGTTAAGGATGGTCACGGATTAACTAACTCTTGCTGCAATTAATACATGAGAGTGACTAAATTTCCCGACTGAGCTAACCTTCCCCTTCAAATCATCGATGTGCTCCCATCCGTACGATGTTTAAGCGTGTATACCGTGTATACCGTTTGTCCAAGCCAGTGAGACAGCCACTAAATTTCGAACGGGAGAACAGGGGAGCGATCGCGAGGGGGAATGGATCTCCGCGTCCGCGCCGTCCAGAAGAGGCCGCTAACTGGGGCTGTCGCGCGCGAGATCGACGAGAGCAACAGCAGCGAGTCTGAGCCGCCCCGAGAATACTCCCAGGATGACGTCTGGCTCCCAACACCCACTGCGAGCGATGCTTGGTCGGGTGATGAAGAGTTTTCCGAGGCTTTCAGTGTGTCGGATGTGCCCGATTCAACCAGCAGCGCTAGCGAAGGTGGCTTCCCTACACGCGTAGTGGCGTTACCACCCAACAAGGCGGAGTTCACGTCGTGGGGGGCTTCGACGAGTACCTGGTTGCGTATGAAGCACAAACGTTTCAGGTATGCGAGATTTGATTGAATGAACGGATGTCTGACCCCGCTGTCTCACTATTTTTTGTGCTATCTGTCTTGTAGATTATCAGGGCGCGCTCTAATACCAGCGTGGCAGAGCGCAATGCTAGGATAGACAAGTCACAGTCAAAAGCGGCTAAAATACCAGCTTCGTGGGAGCAGTATTCGAGGACGTTCGTGTGTACGCACTCGGGGAAGTACAAGTCTATTGCTACAAAGCGGCCACGCCAAGAGACTCAGGCAAAGGGCTGCAAGGCGCAGGTACATATATGTGTTTGAAGTCGGGATTGGTCGGGACTGGTCGGGGTCAGTAGGGGTCAGTCGGGGCCCGTCGGTTAGTTCACTGACTAACAATGGTTATACATGCGCCACAGATTAATGTCTGCGTCCAGGTAGTAGATCAACAGAAGACGACGTTTGCTGTGCGGATCACCCGTTGCCGACTAGAGCATAATCATCGTCGGACAAGCCAGGCTTTCTCTTCACATCCATCGAAACGCGTCATGCTCGACGAGTCAACGCTTATGACAGTCGATCTGCTGCGAAAAAGGGTGTCAAGAAGTCTGGTATCATCAGTCACCTAATGAAGCACACCGACAGTAACCCCACTCCGAAAGATGTGCAAAACCTCGTTCAGAAACTGAAGGCTCGCGAACAACGATGGGCCATCAAGCACTGACAAGCGGCTTAAGAAGTGAATGAAGCAATTCGGTGATGTGACTGCGAACGTTGGTCGGGTTTTCTTGGACAACGTTGATGGCAAGGTACATGAATGCTTTTGTAGGGTCTAACGTCAATTGATGAGGTTAACATTTGTTGTTTTGTGTGCTATTGATTTTACATAGAAAGTGGCGACTTGCATCACATTACAAACAAAGCATATGAGAACACTATTCGACCAATTTTCTGAAGTTCTGATGATTGACGCAACGCACGGGACGAACCGGTCTAAGTATAAAGTCTATTCGTTCGTCATGCATGGTGTCGGCCGCACTTGCGCGCTCAAAACACGAAGTCTTCACATCCGGATATACATATACTTGCTCAACTGACTCTATTTGTGTCGGGCATGGTCGGGCATTGGTCGGGTACCGTCGTGCACCATTAGCCTGTCTCATCCACACCAGTCGGACTAAATAGCAAGTGCCTTAATACCAAAAACAAAAATAATGATACCGGCTACTGTACCGTATTTTAGAGACTGTCACTTAAGCTGTCTCCGTGAAAATCAATTTTGGGAGTTACGACTGCACAGAAAACCCAAAGTACTACGCTTATCGACACGGTCATCAGTCTTCGACGCGAAGGGCCATTATATGTCGCTAGCAAACTCGCTGGAAGACGCCGATGCCGAGCTTCGCGCGATGGCGCGTTACTATCTCGGCCCTGACCCTACACCGTCTGCTCCAGGGGACTGCGAAACCGCGTCCCACCTAATCTCCATCGCCACTTCGGTCCCCAAAGCCGACCAACTCAAAAAGCTCAAACGCAATGAGCGCGACCGCCAACGAAGCTTCGCCAAGCGGGTGCGCGCATCCGCATGGAGATTAATCGATAGACAACACAGATATTAACGTAACATCTGTTGCTCATGGCTCTAGGAATCGATGAAGCAAATGCGGCAACAGGTAACGGAGCTGGAGCAGCGCAAACAGCGACTCGTGGAGCGCACGGGCGGCAACAACGCGGTCTCGCCACAGAGCAATGAAGCCCGCTCGCCGACACCTCCTCATGTGTCCAGTTCCGTGTACCCATCGCCGTCGACGCCCATCAAGCGCGAGAATTTTGTGCGTCTCGCCAGTGAGATCGAGGAGTTCCGGCGTCAGAACGCAGTCATGACGCAGCAGCTACGCGAACGAGACGTGACGACCGGGTACATGCAGAATCTGCTGCTTGAATTCAGTCCGGACGAGACGGATAGTGACAACAACAGCGAGAGCGACTCGGGCTCTGGCGCTAAGAAAAGTAAGAAGAACAAAGAGCCTCTGGGCTCTGGCCCTCGCCCGTTCAACGGCGACAGTAGCGTACGTTTTACACCGCTCACGCGGGAGGAAGGCCTCGCATGTGTGCGTCAGACTCTGCAGCACATCACTAGCGCCCGCCTTCTCTATGCGAACGACGCGCACTACCACAACCGCTCCAAGTTCCTCGGTTGGTCGCAGTACACGCTGCGTCAGGGCTCCACCATCACCTTCTCGGTCAAAAAGGCGCTTCAGCACGTGACGCCGGCGCAACTCATGGCCACGACTTGGCACTTGCTCACTGACGGCAAAAGGACTCAGAAACTGATTCCGTCGACCGTCAACACGCACATCCGGCCGCTGCAGAAGCTGTCGGACGATCTCTTCGTGATTGATCGCCGCAGCGAGGACAACGCCCGCTCCGGCGTCATGGGCAACAAACTAGCGCTGCGTACAGTGTACGTACTGTTCCGTGTGGCGGAAGCTGACGGCACTCAGACGCTGGCCATGAAGACCATCAACCTGCCGCTGGTCAAGAAACTGCTGCGTGACGATGAGCAGTGGTGCGAGATCTTCTACTGGATCCGCATGTCGCCCGACGGCACAGTACAAAGCAGCTCCGGCGATTTCGCTTCCGTGGTGGAGTTCGGCGGCTCCAACACGTACACGCGCGACGAGATCGCCAAGGCGTGGCTCGGTGAGCTCGTGTTCCTCGCCATCCGCTGGGAGTCGCGGGCTGTGGCGCCCACACTGCTCAAGTTTTAAATAAAGAGGTGGTGTCGACATGAAAGTTAGTAGTGGTGTAAGTAAACAACTAGCAAAAGCCGTTTTATTCAAAACCGACGTGGTGGAAGCCTAGCCACGAAACACTTAACCGATATAACGCTCGACATGACGGTGCTACTGTAGACGTGCTAGATCTACTCTACTGCACCATGACACTACGATTGGGGTAGCAGCACAACTGGAGCGACACTGTGGCTTTCCCAGCGCATCAACATGAAGAAAACCTCTCGCTGCCAGCGACGTGCGAATTCCTGCGAGTGGCCATCGAGCATGCCACCAAAACGCACGCGGCAGCCAGCCTTACCCGAGCTAGCAGCTGAAAAGCCCATCCACATGAACGACTCGAACCAGAGGTTATTGGCACAGCCACAGCGCCGTGTGAACGACGGGTTCACCGACTGTAGCACCACGAACAATCCCGCAGGCGACGTCATGCGATACAGCAGATAGATGCTGCGATATTTGGTCGGCGTCTGCTTCTCGCCCTCGGGACTCGACTCCTGTTGCATGCGACGCACCACGACAATGTCGTCGTTGATTTCGTGCAGCACTTCTAGCTGCAGAGCGTGGAGCACAGGCTCAAGCAGCATGGCGAACTGTCGCTGGTTGCGAAAGAGAGCCCACGTTTTGTGAAACAATTGGCCGGGCGAGTAGCCAGCGAACGTTTTGTCGAATGCGAACTCCACGCACGTGTCCTCTTTGACCAGTGCCCTTCGCGACTGTCTCCAGCCCATCATATCACCGCTCGGCTCGTCCTGCTTTACGCGGGAAATTGCCGAGTAGAACTTGGCAATTTCACTTGTTGCATCTCGCACGAGCTGCAAACAGTGGCCGATAGTGCCAACGTCCCACGTGACAAAGTCACACAGCGTCACGGGGTCTCTCTTCACCACAGCTCCACTGCCAGTGTTCATCACGTAAAAGTCTGCTCCCGTATCCTTCTCTCCAGCAACGTCTCCCGTTACTCGTCGCTGCACTTGTTCATGTTCAAAGTTCTGTGGGTGCGCTCTCGTGATGGCCAGCAGAGAGTCCACAAGTTGAGCATGGAGAGCGTCGTTCTCGTCCAGAAGCTGCTGCCTCTGCTTCTTCAAGAGCGCCACTTGGTCCTGCAGTCCTGTGTCGGAGCGTTGTTGCTGCTGCTGCTCGAGAGCTTGGGCCTTGATACTTTCCAACTCTTGCACTGTGCGCATCATAGCTGCAATTTGGTCCCTGAACCTCTGTCGGGACCGTCTCATGGTCTCCCGATGGCTCGCACGTCGTGCCGCCGCTCGCTCCTCGGGAGAAAGCTTCTTGTTTTTGACGCTTTTGCGTCCTTGAGTGGAAACTACCGGTATCACGTTTTTATTGACGACGTTTTCCTCATCGTATTCTACACTGTCGTTCTCTGTTGAGGAAACACTTGGGGAGCTCTGCTCGTCGCTGAAAACGTCTGGAGCGTCCGAGAGCAGTGCAGATACGAAAGCGACCTCGTCTTCGGTCCAGTGCGGGGCGGAGAGTAGAGGCGTCTCGAGAATGTCAATGTCCATCGCGAACTGATAACGACCGACGAACCAGAGGCGTGAACCGATATTGTACCAAAAATGCGGTACAGAAGTCAAGAAATGGCCTTTGCAAAAATACCGGCTTACCGGTATTAAAATTTGACAAACAGTACCGGTTCTATCAAGGTTTTTTTGCTCCTTTCTGTTTTGGTAATCCGATGTCGCGCGGGTTTTCGCTGGCAGGCGCTGCCTTTGCCTTCCACTGCCTGCCGCCAGCCGAACGCCATGAGCTGTCAGTTCTGGTGCAAAGCAACAATGGCACGCTGTATGCCGCGGCAGACACGGTAAAACCTAATTTCGTCTACGTGATCACTAGCTACTGGGCGGACTGTGAGCCTGTTGCTTCGCTCTCCAATGTGCCACTGCGTCTCGTGACGCGTTTCTGGCTGCACGAGACGCTTCGGGTCGGACGCTGGCTGCGGTATGACAGTCATCCGTTCTTTGAGCCACCCGCGAGACCCAGAGACCTGTGGCTGCAGTATCCTGCGCAGTATCAGGAAGCTGCAGGCCAGAGCGAAGTAGATGCGGATGGAGACGTCAACATGCAGGATCCCAGTCCTGCAGGACACAGAATGCGACTGCCCTGCTCGCCCAGCTTCCTCTTCCGAGGCGAGGTGCCGCTCTGGCCTTACATCACGGCCATGTTGGCGCAGCCTATGCTGGACGTCCCGGACCTCTCCGCCAGATTGCAACTGTACGGGCCCTAGAGACATTGAAGAGTGTCAGAAACCTGCAGAAAGTGATCTGTTTAGTGCTGTGAATATTGCTACTGTGCCAGGGTGACGCTGTCAGACCCGCGGCGTAGTTTTAACTGCTTGGAGTACGCGATGAACGAGGTTCGTGATGGCATCCGGCAAGTGGGAAAGTTGGTTTTTGTGCTAATAGATGGAGTTATTGTTGTTGTTGCATTTCTCTACTGTTTATTTTGTAGTTGCTGACGCGAGAGGAACGGGTCGCGTTCTTCAAGGACGTCCTGCCGGAGATGGTGCGACTGGTGCTGGAAATGCCGCAAATGTTTGCTACTCCGCCGCCACTATTGACGCCTCTGGAGACAGACAAACAGGTGGAAGGCAAAGCTCCACGTACTGCTAACAGGACTCGAGTGGAGACGCAGACGCATCGGTTTACGAAGCTGGAGGTGCTGACACTCGTGTGTAGCTGCTTCTTCGGCATTTCTCCTGACCAAGACATCGTCCAATGCGTCCAACTCGATGGCAGTCCGCAGAGCAAGAAAGCGGCACGCCGCGACAGTGAAGACGACGTCATCCAGTTCCCCTACTTCACAGCAGTTCGCATGTTCTCAGCTCCTGGGAATATGGGCCGAGTGGTTGTGCTGAAGGCGCAGAAGATCCGCTGTCTCTTGCAATACTTTTTGTGTGTGGTGCCACGTGCCATCTCCGAGCGTCCAGCGTTATCGACCGAGGTGATCGACTTTACTCGTGTTGGCGTCCACGTCCCACTTGCCCAAGGTCGACTCAGTGCTGAGCGAACAACTCAAGAACTGCTCACGATATTGTCGACTAGTGAGAGTAATACTGGTGCTACCGCGCAGATATGTCCCCCTCACTTACACGCTGCTCGATGCGTCTCGGACACGTTGATCGAAGATCTGGACAGTCATCTGCAGGTTGATTTTGCCAACAAATTCGCCGGCGGAGGCGTGCTCAACTCTGGGTGCGTCCAAGAGGAAATTCGCTTCCTGCTGTCTCCCGAGTTGCTTGTCTCGTGTCTCGTGTTCGCCAAACTGGAACCTCACGAAGCGTTCGTGATCCATGGGACGGAGCGCTACTGTGCGTACCAAGGATACGGCGGTTCGTTTGTCTACGGGGGGAACTTCACGGACGCGACACCTTCAGTAACTTTACCCGACGGCACCGTACGACGGCAATGCGTTATCACTGGAATTGACGCAACAGACTATGGATCGGCGCGGGTGGAACGACAGTACTCGCGTGCTCACGTCTGGCGCGACCTAGTCAAGGCGTACGCGGGCTTTGCCTACCCGGACGCACAGGATGACCAGCGTTGTTGGCCTGTTGCCACTGGCAATTGGGGCTGCGGGGTCTTCCAGGGCGACAGAGAACTCAAGTTTCTGATCCAGTGGCTGGCAGCCTCTCTCCGTCAACGAGAACTGGTCTACGTGCTGTTCGACCGCGATCTGGATCTGCAAGCGAAGGTGAAGCCGTTGCTGGCGCTTGTTGCCAGTCCGAAGGCGCGTGACTGGGATCGTCAGAGTGGCGGGATGACGCAATGGCTGGCGGGGTTTCTCTTGAGTGAGCTGAGTGCAGGTTGCGCCACGCGAGGGGTGCAAAACGTGTTGACTCGAGCCTCGCGCTCGCTGGAACAAGCGTTGGCCTCGCTTCAGTTGCCGCTGAACAGGCCACAGGAGACCGAGAGCGAGGCGAACCAACAGGCGCAAACATCGCCAGTGACGCTGAGCTCGAAACAGGAACCTTCGGCCACTCCTCGACGTGAAGCTGACGAAAACTCGAAGAAAAGGTCCAAAACGATGCACCAGATGACCATGCAGGACTTCTTTACACCCAAGCAATAAAACAAAAATCAACAGACAAACTAATTGAGAAAGAACACTTGACCTCGGTGCAGCAAGACGCACATACACAAACACACACCACAACTTGTTGCAAGACATGCATTGGCCGGTCGCTTTTAAATCTACTTAAACACAAAACGAGTCACATACCAAGGTCTGCCACGTAGTTGCTTCCTTGGTTGGAGGGGGGGGGGGGAGTTGGTCCATCTAGGAGGGCCCTGGCCAGTTTAGGCCTTCTTCTGAAGTAGACTCTTGTCATTAGTGTTGCGTTTGGCAGCTTCCGTGACCTTGTCGAGCGCTTGGCTGGAAGTGTCCATGGCGACGATGGTGGCTTTGGCTGCGACCATATTGGGGTCCGGGATACCCTGAACACACGAGAAGCTCACAAGAGCGACCACGAGCAGCGAAGCGACGGAGAGCAGGCGAACCATGGCGGCGGTTTCTCAGTGACAAGTGTTGCGGTGAGGCTGAGGGCGGTGGACTCGGAATGGGCGTGGCGAAGCAGCTTTGGCTTTGGCTCCTCTGTTGAACGTGCTCTGTCCTTCTGAAACTCATGGCTTTCCATGCTGTTGGCAACGGATGTGCCACTGGTAGTCAGATCGAGCAGAAAAGGTAGAAAACCCTGTGACAATCGATTGACCAGCGATTTCCTCGATCATTTCTTAAGAAACCAAAAGCCAATCGTTTGTGTTCTTGAAACTCGGCCGACTTCAGATCTTATTTCCTTCGATATAACAAGTGTTACAATTAGCAAATATTTGGGATGAATACGGTACCCGTCAAGTATCGTTGAGCTTTGCCTTCCCCGGTTTTTGGCCGCCATCCGGTTCCAGGCAAGGAATCGATCCTTGCTTTGCCGCTTCATAAGCTATTATACATTGCATGGAGTCTACTTCGTACGAGAGAGATCCGACGTTTGCGAACACTGGGTGCTTCCTGAAATCACTTTTTATTTTAATACTAAGTACGGTACGCGTATTCGTCCATGTTATGCTGCATTTACGCGGCGATTTTGCGAAGAAAAATAATACACAAGCAATTTCTCGTCCTGTTGCTAATTCAAGACAAGCCACAGTGTGCATAAGATTTGTTAAAACCTCTAGCGTATAATATCAAGTCGTCATTCAAGATCATCATGGAGGAAAACAGGGGACCAGTTTGATCCCCTGTTATTGATCATCAAACTCGGTTAATTTCAAGGACGACCTTAGCGTCCAGATTTCCCAGATTGAAAAAATACTCAGAAATCTGAGTCTCCATGCTAGGGGGCCAGGTTTCGCCCAGGTTTCCTTATAGAGAACGGAATCAGATTTGGTAATTTACATTCGGGAACTTAAATGACCAAATCAGGTATTTTCCAGGTATAAGACCTGGGATACTCATGTGTGCACGACTTAGGCTAAAGTGGAAATGATCGTGGGCAGTCGACGTCGGAACTCACCGCAACCAATCGTTTTCTTCACCGTTTACCCAGGTATTTTACAGGTTTTAAAACCTGGGTAAATCATGTGTGCGCTACTTAGAAAAATTCTAGAGTGATGGCCGCTGCGGTGTGTCGGCGTTCACGCTCATGGTGGCGTACCACGAATGTACCATTATCGACTTCTGCACCATATAGTCATTGTCCAGGTTTTGCCCAAGAATTGACCACGTATTAAAATCGTTAGTGTTTGCATGCATGTTGCACTGACGGATATGCACGAATAACTAGCGCGGCCTCAACTTCATGACTGCGTGCAGCATCTCTCACCTCAGCTTCGTAATACCAGCTGGGGACACATCGCTGGGGGATTCGATGCTCACTCAAGTCCAGAAAAACCGGCACACAAACACACCGCAACTGTCACTGTCCGTTTGCACCGGCTCGGTTACTTCCAAAGCTTCGTAGGAATCGTCACGTAGAGGCCCAGTACGGATTTTTTTAGCCATCTTCTGCAACCGTTTCTTGTTTCTCTTACCGCCCATGCTGTCGTACATCTTGATAACATTGGTGTCTCGGTCAACCACGAGGCATCCCCAATGCGTGCCACCAAAAATTGATAGGAAGAATCACGAATTGGTGCGAGGCAACACTTTCACCAACTTTGTCGAGCGTGCTTGTAGAGATACGACTTTTGGTGGCCTTTGGTTGGGTTCCATTCCTGGCATCTTTGGCTTTTTTGGGGGCGGAATGACGACTGTACAATTATTCTTGTACCGTGCGAGACAAACCGCAAAAGCACGCATGGCGTTATCGTTTAGCCAAGCGACATCTCGAAAGCAAAAGAGATTGTTGTACGTCAGGTCGAATCCGAACCCAACCAGCGGTGTATACGGCCAACACTCCAGTATCTTTCCCATTATAATACCCGCTGAAGCGGGGTCACTGACCGCGGGTTTAACAGTGCTATTCAACCAGGTACAACAAAGAACAGCATTGCGACAAGTATCTTGTAGCCCCCACAAGGATTTCATAGCTTCCAGTTGCTCTCTGGTGAACTGACCAACTTTTTCAATTGACACCACGTAATTCTCAATGCTGCCCATTCGTTCACCGTCACTGTCCAACTCAACTTCTTCATCTAGCGCCAATCCGCCCCTCAGCTTATCCAACGCATCATCAACAAGCGATTCGACTAGCCGGAATCGCACTCGATCTGGCACGTAATCTCCGTCACCTTCCCTCACCATTCTTGTTGACTGGAAAGGTAGTAAGGAAAGACCCAACTTCGCGAACTCCAGGTATGATCATCCATAGAGTAGACACCACATCGCAGACGTCGTTGTCTCTTAAAAGAGCGCGTAGTTTCATCCCGTTATTGTACTCTTTTAGTGCTAACGCCGCCTTCACTTTCATCGCCGTACTATTCATATGAGGTCGCCCGGCCCTTCTGACCTTACCATTCAGCTTGATTTTTGGTGGTTGGGCTGCGGTCGTAGACATCTCTGCTGCTTGAGTCGCAGGACCAGCCACTGAATCGGCGGTACGTCGTCGGAATCATCCTTGGTAGCCGCATTCGCATCGCTAGCCTCAGTATCTTGCTGTTGTTCAGAATCCACCCCTGCTCCACTTTCACCTGCTCCTCCATCCGAGTTGTCATCATCATGTCTATTGTCACCGTCTCGATTGGGGGCAGAATGCTCTGCCGTGGGTTGTCCATTCCTCAGATTGTACCACCATTGATCCAACTGCGACATCGCACTAGCGAAGGCATCGTCTTCGAACCTCACAAGCTCACCACTGATGCGACTAAGTGCCTGCTGTGCACGTCTGTATTTCTCCGCTTCACCCAACCTTCCACCAGCAGCTTGTGAATGGGCTTTGTATATCTTAGCCACAAACGGTGCCGCCACCTCTGTCAACTCCTGTTGCGAGAGCCTGCTTTGACCAAACCACCTGCAAAACACATACCTGGCTAATACATGATGAAAACATGGCCAATACCTGGACGCAAAGTCGACATACCTTGGCGCAATTGTCGAGAACGGGATAATGAATGGGTTGCCACAGCGCTTTCGGTACATCATGGCGTGTCTGCAGGGAAGCTTCATGGTCTGAGCAAACTCACAGTCGCACAAGTAACCCTCTTTCTCGATAAGATACTCACGTTGACCACCGCTGACAGTGACAGTAGTGCCATTGTCGGTAAACGTGTAGTTGTTAGCAACAGCAGCATCCGTAGCAACATCGTATTGAGCCTTGATCGCTGATGCCACCCAACGTGTTGTCTTTCCCAGCGCTACATTCATTTCTTCTGAGTAGGATACGTCCCGTAAGGTGCCAGGCATCTCGACCTTGGACCGATAGTCTTCCTCTTTGCGTCGCTGGTAGTCCAAAAGCACCTTCAAACTAGCTCTCATTGTAAAGTGGCCTTTGAGATGCCGTTTGAGCTTACCAAATAGGCTCTCCACGCGGTTGTTGGTGTGATTTCCGAAGTGAGGCAGATCAACGCGATACGCCATCACCCACATCTCGCAGCAGTCGTTCTAGTTTTTGTCAAAGTACTCCCACAGATCGGTGCGATCATCTCGGCAAGCGAGGCTCTTAAACTCTTCACGGTGCATATGGTAGTCTTCCTCTGTCCTGGAGTAAGTCATGTTGGTGATGGCGTGTTTCATCTGCGCTAAACATCCTCGTCGTAAGCACCGTATGACTTAGATTTTCTGATAGTCTCATGCAACCACTTGATCACGTGAAAGTGGCAATACAGCACCCGAGCTTCGGGAAGCTTCTTGCGAACCACCTCGACTTCGCGCATGTCCTTGTCGACGATCACAATACGGACGAACCGCCAGTGTTCGTTCGCACGCTTGAAATGATCCAAGCACTTGGCCATATGCCAGTCACCGTTCGTTTCGATTAACGAATACTGGACAGGCTGGCCTTGGCCAAACTGGTCCATACCAACCATCGTAAAAAGCTGGTAGTTGTACCTAACCATACACAAAGTCTGGTCAAAACCTGGTCATACCTGGGGAAAACCTGTCCAATTACTACCATGCAACTTACTGATTGGTTTTGTGCGTACAGTCCATTTGAATCACCTCGGGGAAGTTGTCCAACATCGCACGCATATGCCCACTAGTGAAGGAAAGCACACCGGTATCTCCACGTGCACTTTCGTGCACCGAAGAAACATTTGCCGATGACTCTGTTGAAGTCCATAATCATCTCAGCCACGGCATCGTTATCAGACAACTCCACACCTGCGAATGCATCAAGTTAGAGGGGAACAAGAAGACAAGACATGTAATCAAACCAAACATTTACCTTGCTTACGCAGCCGGCGAAGTAGATTGTGCACATCATCCATGGAGACTCGGTGCTTTGAGTTCTCTCGAATGTAGTTGTACACGCTTGTTGTCCCGGCTTCGGATTTAACCAGCAGCTCAATACCTGGCATCAAAGGTGAGTCCGCCGGAACCTGGCGAATACCTGGATAAGACCTGTAAATGTCTTCGGAGACACGATGATTATGGGCGTACACTTCACGCTTCATCACAACGCCCCACTGACCGTCACTACGCTTGGTAGCTTAAGCCAGCATCTGAAACGGACAATCGGTAGTACTCAGCTTGTGTGACGTCCGCTTTCCCGTTGATCTGTCACGTTCGGACCACCCATGCGTACAGATAAACTTGCGCTGATAAGGTTCCATCTCTGCAGGGACGAGAGGCAACTCTGAGTCAGGAAGCCCTTGGTACCTCACTTGGCGCCGAAGATCAGCGTTCCTGCGGGCTACATTGATCACCTCTTTCACCACGATTTTTTGGCGCGTCGCCTCCATGTACTCCTTGAGAGACTGCTCCAGCGAGGCCCACGAATCATGATGCGCCTTAAATACAGGGACCTGAACCAGCTCTTCTTCTTCGACATCGGAGACGGTTCTTTTCTTTCCTTGACGACGCTTTCTCGTTGGTTCCGTCTCCACTTCATCTTCTTCCACTTCACCCTCTTCCCCTTCGCCCGAAGCGACCTTCTCCTCCTCTGCATCCTCTTCATCTTTCACCGAATCGTCCTCTTCATCGCCCGTAGTCTTCTTTGCTTCACTCGACGTGTCCACACCTCTTTGCCCTTCCTCACCATCTCCTCCTTCATCTGCGACGTCTTCTGTTGCCTCCTCCACTCGCTCTTGAGCATTGCTGTCCTCTGCTACTTCGGTTGGACTAGGGCGAGATGTCTCCATGATTTCTCTGGCGTGTGCTCTCTCTGAGCGCGTACGCGCCGCACGCAAGAGAGCGAGGTGCGTGGGGGGGGGGGCTGCCACGGGTCTCCCTAACTGGTGGCTAGGAATCAAAAGAAGAAAATGAGAGTAATTTAAACCGTAAAAACTCTACCTGGACAATACCTGCCGGTATACCTGGACAATACCTGAGTGATAAAACACGGACAAGTTCCCGACGCTATGACTACCGAAGGGTTCGTATGAAGCAGAAATACATGTGCTCTACCACGGAATTGTGGGCTCTAGTCGAAGTTTTCATGGGCCGAGCTACATGTATGTTGAACCAAAAACCGACCCAATCGGCTCAACACTTGAGTTCACTAAGCCTTACATTAGGTACGATATCGGACGTAAATGGAGCGGAAGGGTACCATCCGTAACTTAGGCCAGCATCGGCAAATTTGACCGGAGATTCACAATTATGGTCGAAATGGAGACGGCAATAATAGTGGTTGTCAATTGTGCAGCAGCAAGAAGATTTTTTTTTTTCATGCACTTGAGCAGCAACATCAACAGCCAATCAGAGTCGACCCAATTGACCACCCCAAATTGAAGTTGCAGCAAGTTTTAAATTTTTGCCGTGTTTCCTTTCTTAACATCGACAAGTTAGAGAGAAATGCCTCGCTTGTCGGCCCGTGGGAAGAAGATACGTGAGCTGTACCGAATCCTAGAGAGGCGGGGAGTTGCAGCAGTTAGCCGAGAACTCCTGAGTGACCCTGACTCTTCAGCAGACGAGCTAGATGCGCATTGGCAGTCGGAGTATGATCTCTTGCTGTCATCGCGTTACGTTGATCGGCCCAACAAGTATCGTCGGCGTAGTGATCGATGGCGTAAGTTGCTCTATGACCACGATTACATGAACGCCACGGAGTTTCACGACCATTTTCGACTTGACCGAGACGTTTTCTTTCGCCTAGTGGCACTAGTGAAGCATGATTCTGCGTTCTGTTCGAAGGGGAGCAAGCCTTTTCGTGGTGGACCGGAGCTTCACATGCTAACGCTACTTAAGTTTCTCGGGACATACGGAAATGACAACACAGCCGTCAAATTGGGCCTCTTCCTTGGAATCGCGAGTGGGTCTGTCCACAACTACTTTTTCCGGGCTACGAATGTCGTCTTAAAGCTTGAACCCGTCACTATGGCATGGCCAAACGAAGAGGAGCGGGTTATGATATCGCTACGGATGCAGCAGAAATACGGTTTTGTAAACTGCGTTGGAATAACGGATGGGACGCTATTCCCGCTTGCAGCAAAGCCGCAACATCAAGGAGAAGATTATTTTAGCAGAAAAGCCTCGTATTCAGTCCACGGCTTGGTGACATGCGATGATGTTGGAAGAGTTCGAAGTCTCGTTGTTGGATGGCCCGGGTCCACCCACGACAACCGTGCTTGGATGAACAGCCCCTTGATCCTTAAGCGTGCGGACCACTTCAAACACAATGAATATGTGCTGGGGGATTCTGCATTCCAAGCATCATCCGTAATGATCCCTGCATTCAAAAATCCACCTAAGGCACAGATGAATCCTCGTCATACGTACTTCAACAAGCAGCTTGCGAAGGCTCGAATAAAAAGCGAGCACTGCATTGGACTGTTAAAGATGCGATTCCCATACTTGCGTGAAATTCGAGTAAAACTGGGCAAAAAGCGCAAACACATACGACGGTTAATTCGCCACGTGACTTGTGCAAGCATTCTTCACAACTTACTTATTGCTGAGCCCATTCCACACCAGTGGCAAAATGAACTTGAAAGGCAGATAACGGGTAGGCTCGACGACGACGACGAGTTGAACGAGCCCATCCCGGAAGGTGAGAATGGTGACAAACGCAGAAACCAACTTCTAGCGTACATGCTCGAGGTCCGAGACGAGAGGCAGCAGGAAATCAATTTCGTCTTTTGAGACGCCTTCGTCCAGTAGCTTCTTGCGTTCTCGGAGGAGCGTGACGCGCCGTTGCTGACGCCAATGCTCGGCTTCTTCCATGAGTTTGCTTGCTTGTGCATTTGCTTCACCAACCCGGGCGATCGCCAGTAGTTTTTCACTTTCCAGTTGTTTTTCTCTAGCCGAAAACTCTTTTTCTCGAAGATGAAGTTCTTGTTCGCGTACACCAAGCTCTGCATGCTGAAAGTCTCTCTGATGAACCAGCTGCGCTTCCTTCAGACGTAATAAAGCGGGTTGTGATGGTAAATCATCTTTTTGATACTTCTTTGTTTGAGGCACAGCTATTGATATTGGAACAGACTGGGGGCGATTTGGTTTCAGTCGGATTGCCTTGTCAGCATGTTCATTTGAAGCTCGATCACTTTCGCTGCTGGAACTGTTCCCGTCACTCTCAGTGTCATCTTTCCAATACCCCGGGTCCGTATTCAATAGCTGAGCTCGTGTACCAACGCGACTATTCATCGTGTCGTGAAGTTCGTAGTACTCTGGGCATATCTGCAGAATTTTGTCACGTAATGAGGTCTCATCCGTTATCCCTTGGCCAGAGCCATGCAAGAAATCTACCACGGACCGATAGCTGGATTCAAGACTAGCAATCTTGTTCGTTATATCTTTCGCAGTTCGAACAGTCTTGATTCCCTTTTGAGAAATTAAGCGCGAAATTTTCTGCGCCAGAGCAGTTTTATTCTCTCCGGATTGAGCGTCACCACCTCGATAGCGCTCATAATTGTCTCCGTCCGTCATCCAGTCAATCAGTACAGTTAGAGAACTAACATCTTCTGCTGGGCCATCGTTATGCCACATCACGCGCTTCTTGCCTGTCGAAACGGATGGTGTCATGCTCACAGCGAGCTTCACGAGAGCATTGTAACATCGTTTACCACATGCCGCTTGGTTAAACGATGTATCACCTCCAAACAAAACCAACATAGCAGCTAGACAAGCCGAATGCACGACTCGTTCGCATCCCGATCTGCTACAAATGCGAAATGAAGCTCCTCCTTCCGGTTTGGCCACTTTTTTGCAGTCTTTCCATCGACAAGCACCTGGTAATGCAGTCATAGGGACGCTTGTACGCTCTTCACACGTTGATGACTCTGGTGTAGTTGCTGGCTCCGTTGAAATTGGTGAAATAGTGGTTGTTTCTGTTGTAGACGAGCTGCAGAATTCGGCGCCAGTGCTCCTCAATACCGGTTGTGCATCACCATCGTCGTTATCGCTATCACTGCTGAGGATTTCACGAATTCTGTCCAGTTGGGCCTTCTTACCTGTCGATAGTCGCCTACACATCAGCTCCTGAATGCCAATCTGCGGCGTCTGATCCGCGCGTGAAAACTCAAATGGTAACAGCGGGTGTGCAGCAACGGTTTGATCGTAATGGATCGTTGCAGGCGCGTCGTGATACTCATTGCTGTTAGTTCCGTTCAAAGTGGAGGCCAAAAGCGTAGCCTCAGCTGTAGTGTCTCCGTCAATGTAATCGCAACTGGAGGTTGTAGACGGTGTGCTCGTATTCTTTCGTTTCGTACGAGAACTTTCCTGAGCGGCTTGCTTCTTGCTACAAGTGCGTTTCCTTCCAGAAGGTCGTGCACGCGACGTCCCACTCATCTGTGTGCTGGGTCTTCAACACGTCGAAAGCGCGCGAAAAAAAAATGACTTGCTGCTGCAAGCCTAAAAGCACAACTTTTGTTGCAGATTGTCCAAAACGATTCTGACCAATCAGTGGTCTCGAAAAAAAATCTGACTTGCTGCAAGAAAAAAAAACTTCTTGCTGCTGCACAATTGACAACCACTAATGTTTTCGAAAGCTTAGGCTTATTAAAAGCGACTAAATAAAAGGAATTTGAACGTTGTTCACGCCGCTGCGAGCCACGCGGCACAGCGTCACCAGTTCATGTAGCAGAGAATCCGGGCGTAGCGTGCGTCGGGGCTGAGGACGTGGTAGAGACGCCGTCCTCCGATCCGCTGGCCGTGTTTCCAGAATTGCTGGCAGCGCTTGTCGAGGGCGCGGCCGTAATGTCCGTCGTGCCACTCGTCGAGCTGTTAGTTGTGGTCTGAGTTGAGGGAGTGGTGATGGCGGAGCAATCGTACGAGCCATCAGTGGCGTTATTGTAGCTGTAGCAGGCTTCCAGTGCGGCGCTGGCAGCGGTCTGTGCGCAGTCAAGCGAACTATCCGTTGCGCTATTGTAGCCCGCACAGACTTCCTCCGCCGCGCTAGCGGCCGCATCTGCAGCTGCGCTTGCCGTGGACTCAGTGCAATCCAAGGAAGCACTGTGCTCAGAGTTGTACGTGCTGCACGCCTCCTTGGCCGCGTTGGCAGCCGCCTGGTAGGCGTCTTCTGCAGCACTTGCAGCGTCGTGGTAGAACTCCTCAACGTTGCTGGCAGCATTGTCGATCCAACTCCCGGCAGCGTTGGCCGCATCTTGAGCAGCGCTGGCAATAGCGTTCGCGGCGTCTTCGGTAGCATTGGTAGCGTCTTGGATGATGTCGGCAGTCGCTGGATTAGTGACAGCAACGGCAGCGAGAGTTGTAAAAGTCAGGTACGAAGTGAAGCGAGCCATGATGGTCGATGTGTCAGTTGAGACGGCAGTGGTCGAAAGTAAATTGAGTAGTGATCGATCTGTGTGATCGCGAAAACGGTATCGAGCCGTCTCAGCTGGGGTGGCTTAGGACACTGCATCACCGACCTGAAACGTGTCCATCATGTACCCAAGCGACTTAAATAAGCTAAAAGGCCTATCCATGAGAGAGACGTTCAAGTTTACTTAGACAAGCAAGTCGCTGCAGTGGAGATAATCAAGAGCTGGAAGGGTACAGTACATGTGGTGACTCCAGTAATAAATAGAGTGCCCCAATGGTATTGAAGCATGACTTGATCGCGTTCAGAAAAGAAGTTCTGCTTTACAGTAAACATGGAATCGCGACTCTTATGGGTTGCTGCTCAGCCACACACGCAGTAATTGGCACCTGAAAATCATGTTGTACATGTAGCTAGCTGGATTTTTTAAAGGCAAGACCAAGTTGACGCCAACCGCGCAAGAAAAGTAGTACCTGTGGTCGTACTTAGTCGAGATGTTGTGTTACATTTGCCATTTTGAAGTTGAAAAGGTGTACATCGGAGCGCCTACGCTCTATACATGAAAACAAAGCGGTACGGCGGTAGTGCCCGCACTCGAGTTAGACATAATTTTGATTGGTCATTTAGATATCATACATTGTGTTTCGGCACATCACTGTCAGAACACTGTGTCAGCGTAGCACATTTTGTGCCTGGCAGCCTACCAGTCATAGAACAATTCATACAGAAGTCAGCTATGTATTGCTGTCGTTGTTAGGGCATACGTATGCGCTGCTGCTGTCGTCGCCAACGTTGATCAGAGGATCATCCGCTCGCTGAGTTATTCGGAGAGTCGTGCGATTCAGAGTACGCCATTTTTTCAAGCTACTGTAGTTGGTCGTTTTACCGGGCAAAGTAATGCCAGAGATAACCAAAGTGCACGGTGCTGACCTCTGCCGATTGGTTCGTCCACAAGCTGGATCGAATTCTTGGCATCACTTCACATCTGAATATACCGTAGGCGAATCTTCGAGCGAGCTTCTACCATTACGATTCACCTCGCCCCTCATATATGTTAGCTATTCTCCCCCCCCTCCTTTCTGGGTATGCTCCAATTTAGCCTCTTCCGATTTTATTAGCTCAGAAGTAAGATTAAAGTATGCGTGGACTATTTCCTGGCTGAAGCTCTCAAGCAAAACGTCGTGACTTACGAGGTTGGTAACAGAGGTACTAAAATAAGGTACAGTAAATGCTCTTACTTCCAGTATCGTGGTCCGACCATATCCTAGGATTTGATATATTTTATAAAGGTAACACTACAAATTTAACTGAGAAGCAAGGAGAATAATATCCTCCACATCTACATCTGATCTGTTGCTTGTGAAATCGGTATATTTGCTTCTTTCATCTACGGTATTAAAGATAATGCCCGTGTGGCGGAAGCAGCCCTCAATTATACGCTTACCTTTCAATTCATTCCAGATTCCATTGCTCCATTGCATTGCCTCCAACTGGTCCACGGCGCACACCGTACTATCAGCCTCAACACCGTTCTTAATCTTGTCGTATACCCACCGAAGCTGCTTCCTTCTGTACGCCATTTTAAAGGATGCGATGATGCCAGCGTCCATAGGTTGTAGGAACGCAGTAGTATTGGGGGGAAGAAACTCCACTCGAATATTGGTGCACACAAAATCCCCTAGTTTGTGTGAAGAGGCATTGTCGAGAAGCAGGAGGATATGACGCCCACACCCTCGCATATCCCTGGCTAAATTGAGTAACCACTCCCTGAAGATGACGCCTGTCATCCACGCCTTCTTATTAGGGCGGTAGCTAAAGCCGAGCTCCTCCGCCGTGCGTTTCTTAAAACAGTGAGGATTCTTGGCGTGCCCCAGATAGAGCTCCGGCAGCTTGTCAGTCCCGTCCGTGTTTTTAGTTAAAGCGAGGGTGATTCTTGTCTTCTTTTTTTTGGTGTCGCGGGCTCCCTTAGTACAAATTGAGCGGGCCGGAGCCGTGGCGTAACAAAGCCCCGTCTCATCCATGTTGTAGATATCCTTAGGTTCCTACAGGTCAGCAATCGCTTGAAGTCGCTGGCGGCCTAGGGCAACCGCTACAGGATCTGCAGATCGAGCTTCACCAGGCAGCCTTCGACTCTTCAGTCGGTGCCTTCGCTCAAAAGCGGTTAGCCACCCATCCGAAAAGGTCAGGTCCCACATATTACACAAATCTTTCTGAATATCTCGAGCTTTCATCTTAAACAATTCGCGAGAAAGACACACACCTATAACTACAGCCTTCATAATCCAGTCCTGTAGCAATTTCTCCAGCGCAGGCGACGTCACGTATCGTGGCTTACGCCTCTTGTCATTGTGGTGTAGCGGGATCAGCAAAATCTGCGAGATTGCCGGATCCAGCTTACCAACTGCACCCAGACACCGACTAACGGAGGGGGTCCCCCGATGATCCGTGTTCTGCTGAACTTTCCTCACCTTGTGTACCCGTCGGTAGGGCGGGATCTTGCTCTCTCGGTAACTTCCGAAGAGTTCAAGTGGTGAAGCTTGAGCGTCTTGGCGAGACGTGGAGATGGGGTGGAGCAGCAGTGGAAAATCTTCACTCTGCGTCCGTGGATGGTTCCGAATCCTAAGCGAATATTCGAGCTTATGGATCCGGGGCCTAGATCGTGGATCTGGCCGTAGGGTTGCCTTGCGGGTGTGTTCCCTTGCCTTTGTAGTTCCTTTGCGTCGTACTTGCCGCCTCCTGTGACGGGATCTTGAAAGTTGAGAACCTCTAGGGTGTAACCGACCAAGTAGTAAATTCGGTTAACCTGTCGGATCTGCACAAGTAAAGGAAAAGCTCACTAGGTTGTAGGATCTGGCCAATGTATTATCCAGTTATCACTACCAACACTAGATTCGCAATTCCCAACCTTCTCGGAGCTCGTACGGCCAATGTAGTTCCGGTTCTTGAGGGCAGGAAGGCACTTGCGTGTTACTGTGCAAATTGAGGACTGTATTGATATTTAAGCCTATACCTGCCTGGGTTTCTGCCTTCTATGTCTTTCATCTGCTAAATCCCTTACCAGGCTCGGCTGCATGTCCCTTCTTCCCTTGACCCATCATCCCAGCTGTATTATCTTCAGATCCACCGGATCCATGACGTAATCATCATGGTCACCCTATTATGGGTACACTCATCCGGATCCAGGTCGCTTGGATCCACTTCACTGTAAGTTTGCACTCGTCGTCGATCTGAGCTCTCCCATCATCCAACATCATCTCGCAACCGTCTGTGATCTCCATTGTCCCACGAAAGTTCGAGATCCACTGTATCCATCATCCCTATACCCTGGATCCAGGTCCCTCCAGGCGGGATCCTCCCTCCTTGGATCCGAACTCGGAAGTATGGGATCCGGGGTACCTCGCGGTGGATCTTGACTCTTCATTAGCCGTGGCTACTAGATCCACCTTCAGAGGGCACCGACCATCCTTCCCTCATAGGATCCACACTCGATCCACTCTTGTATAGTATATCCCATATCCATCTTAGTGAATCCAGGTAAGGGTGGATCCGAGGTAAGTCTTGGTGGATCTTGCCTTCTCGTACGTCGCTCATATCAGATCCATCGTCATTCCATACGGGGTGCTGCTCGCCATGGCTAATCCACCACAGGCAACTTGCATTCGTGCCAGCCAACCCAAATCCTCTCTAATCACTTGAAATTGTCACTGATTCGGGATAGTGACCCCGCGTCAGGCCCATTCTCTTACTTCTGAAAAAGCACTTCACCACATCATCGCCGTAGCCTTCGCTCATGATCTTGGTTGCGTTTGGCAGGATGTCGGAGACTGTAGTTTGTGGTGGTACTCGCTTTAGCTTGTACTCTGCATTTGCCCGTGTACCCAGCTCTTCTTGCGTCATGTTGGGGAAATCAGCTGCCTTTTGGATAAGCCCACGCTTCAGCTGTATCTTCATCCACCTCCCCATGACTAGATGTGCTGCTCGTTGCGGGCTCTGTTGTGTGAAGTGCGAGCTTTGCGTGGAGCGAGCAGATTAAATGACTGGCGCCGAGAGACCCCTTTCAGAGGCCCAATCAATTTTTTTCCTCTTTAAAAGGTATTCATCATCGAAAATTTCAGGGAATTAGTTTATACCAGTACCGGAATAGGACTAATATACTGTAGTACTTCAAGTACAAGGGGAGGGGGTATGCATGCGAAACGCATCACTGTTAATACCTGACGTAATGAAAAATATCATTTGACTGTTTTTCGGTCTGGTTGCACCGCTTGTGTTAATATTGCTTGGCACCGCTATGGTAGCCCTAAAAAAAGAATGGTTTCCGATCTATCTTGTAAATAAGTGCGTTACGGATACTTTAATTAATTTTCCATGCGCGTTTCTTTGACTGCAAATGCTAATTGCGCGCCCTACGCCAAAATTCATGCGCAATAGCGCAAATTTGTGATAGAGTTAGATTAAGTTAGAATCCATTTAAGTACGATATATCAGCAGGGTACTGCATTCAAAAAAGGTACAAAACATCCTTTTGAAGTTATCAAAAGTACCTCTTGAAAAAAAAGGAAAATCTACTACAGTAATGCACACCGTTTTCGCGCCCTTCGACCTTTGATAAACTTCCCGATGTGATGATTCTGAATCCAAATGAGCAATGGTTTGTAAGCTTAAATCTTTAAATCTGATTTATTTGCAAATCCTATATGGTTCACCCCCGCGAAAACAGGGTGCAGTACTGTAGTGGGGACCTATCAGATTACCTTCGGATGTAAAAGACGGTGCCCCAATCTTGATGGACATACAAAAGATCAGCATACTCGCCACTCCCCTTTTTCAATTCTCGGGATTCCCTCTTTTCGATCAAAGGGGCACGCTTTTGAAAGTACCCCCCCCCCGCGCCCTGCGGACACGCCAGTTCAATCTTTGTTTCAAATACAGGAAATTTGACGTTTTGGTTGTTCAATGAGTCACTCGCATACAAATTTCCTTGCTAATTTGAGATCGCATTGAAATGAATTACATTGTAGATCTCAGGCCAAGTCAAAGCAGATTTACGCAATAAGAAATAGACATTTTACAAACATGTAGAGCGTACAAATTTGACTTGGGCTTGCGACATCATCGTTTTTGATCAATTGATTATCCTCAACTCTCGCCCTCGATTAAAAGTGATTATTCTTTTCCACCAGATTTTACGTGCTAATTGCCTTTCATTCCATGGATCGATCTTTGTAGTAAGCGTGCATTGGTAGGTAAGATAGTATTGTAGGTCATGAATAGCTACCGAGGACAACTCAGGACGATCGGTTAGAACCACCAAGTACTTCGACTGCTCAAATAACGCAGACTACGTCTAGCTGTTCTAGTCAATTATCTGTCATTTTTGCTTATCCTCTCAAGCACCAACACGAGCACCCAGTAGCACTCGAAAATCCTCACGAATATGGTTCGTCCTATCACTTTTATCGCACTTATTGCTGTAGCTGTCGCAACTCCCGCTTCGGCCGCAGCCGATGTGATCGGCGACGCAGTTGATGCTGTCGGGGATGCAGTAGAAGATGCCTACGACACCACAGCCAGTTGGGTGGATGGTGCGGCCGACACCGTGGGTGACACAGCTGAAGATGTCTACGATTCAACCTCAAGCTGGGTCGATGATGCTGCGGATACCGTCGGAAGCGCTGCCGAAGACGTGTACGACACTGTTTCCAGTGCCACGGGCTCCATAAATGACGACGTTTCTTCCGCACAATCGAACGTTGCGACGGTGACTTCGGCAACCATCTTGGCCTTTATTGTGCTAGCTGCTATCATCTGATAAGCTGCGTATGCTTTCCAGTTGCAAGACAGACTCGACGATGATTTATTTTCAGACACGTATCGTCAGTAAAGAAATCCAATCCAATGCTTCGCCGATTCTTGTTTTCCGTGTGAGTTGGGCGTATACTGTAAAATGCTTGAGTGATATTGAGAGACTCTAAAATCGTCAAAAGCTTAGGTGGGGGTTATAGTTTGTCTCTTGGTACTGGTACAAGACCAGCCGATGTCACCAAAACATGAACCATCGCAAGAGCGATCAAATGTTTAAAGCACAGTACTGCTGTCTAGCAGCAGATAGAGCGCTTCGGAAGCTACCGGAGGCGTGGATAGGGACGGCAGCGCTATTTGGAGGCTGGCGTGCTTGTTTGTGAGCGTAACTATTAATACTACTGTACGAAGTGCCTGCCTTCAAGGCAGTGCCTGGACCGAAGGAAGCTCGTACTGAGCACAGAAACTGGATATACCCTTTTAATAGACTGCTTTGTGCCGAGTCCACGCACATGGTCTATCATTTTATGGGAGAGGTTTGGTGCACGGAGCTTGGACGATTTTTTGTAGTCATAGAAATACTTCGCGGATTAAAAGACTCCAACGGGGAAAGGAATGATACCTTTCAGTTCCGAACTGAGAAAACCGTCGAAGGTCTGAGATGTCAATGACAGAGCCGCAGAATTCCATGGAAGCGCCATTTGCGCGAGCACAATGTGATCGCAAGCGCGTTAGACGGGGGAATCTAAAAGTAAATTGCACAACGGTATTTGAACTTGCCCAGGGTACAGTAAGCAAAAACTAAAAGAGCATTTTACCAAAATATTCGGTCTCGAGAGCTGTAATGTCTGGAATTGGAATTATACAGTGGTTACAGTAATTAGTCTGACTTCTAAGCTGGTCAGACTCCACGCGGAGAATACTTTATGTCGTTGGAAATCTTCTTGATTAACGTCTGATACGAAATGCTCATAATTAGTCAAATTTTCCCAACTAGGGTGCACAAAAAGCAATATTATAGGGACACCACCAATCGCTTACAGTACCTACTTTGAACATGTTAAGTACTACGTGTAGTATTACGGTAGTACATGTACTACGTAGTAGTACTATAGTGCTGTAGTTGTAGTAAAGGTTCGATTAAATTGAACAATAGATTGTTTAATGGAGCGCACGCTTTACCAGCTTGGGTAGTGTATCTACATGTACTTCAGGCTTAAGCAATGCAAGCTTAGGCGAAGTTGAGGGCGAGCCCTGCGACCGCAAGGGCGGCCATGACGAGGCCTGAAGACTGGCACATTGATTGAGCCGCAGAGGATCCCGAGGCGGAGACAGATCCGGCGGCGCTCGCCACGTCATCAGCGAGGGAACTGGCAATACTGGCCGCATCGTCAAGCAGACTGCCGGCGGCATTGGCGGCGCTGGAAACCGTGTCTGCCGCTGTTCCGGTGGCGTTAGCAACGGTATCGACGGCCGAGTCCACCGTGTTACCGGCTGCGCTAGCGACCGTATCAACTGCAGTGTTGGCAGCATCGGTGGCAGCACTTGTGGCGGCATCGGTGACCGTGTTCGCAGCGTTGCTGACCGCTGTACCTGCAGCATCGGTGACGCTGTTCATGAGGTCGTCAACCACGGCATTTTCGGCGGTCGCGACAGTTGCGATAGCGATGAGGGCGAGACACGAAAGGACACGCATCTTTAGTGTGAAGACCAGGTGAAGCTGTTGTTGTGAACCACGAAGCGAATTCAGGAGTGAGCGAGTTGTCGTCAGGTAGAGAGAGACTAGTATAATCCACGTAGCCCCAGAGAGATAGACGGCTGGGCGTCGTTAATCGTATGTTCCCGCAGCGAATTTTAATCGATAGGGCTAGGGATTGATATTACATGTATAATAGCGATCGCTATTAATACATGTAGAATAGTTTGTAGGTATTTAATACATACGATAAACGACGCCCAACCGTCTATCTCACAGGGGCCCAAATTGGGCTACGTGGATTACACTAGTCTCTCTCTACCTGACGACAGCTCGCTCATTCCTGAATTCGCCTCGTGGCTCACAACAACAGCTTCACCTGGTCTTCACACTAAAGAAATAAAGTAAATACTAACTCCTCCTGAATGAGTATTTAACTCTAATATTATCTGTATTAGTTTGAAAAGTAGCCGAAACTAATACTAATATGCCCGTATTACTCGTAGCTCACCATTGGACAAAATATTAATATGTGACTACTATTGGACAACAATATAGGCTTTGAGAGGCAGACAGTCGCCCACTGATTCCTTCCGTTCTGTAAGCCTGTAGCAGCGTGCTTTGCTTCGTTGCGAGCTCACTTCCAATTTCCAGTCCTCACCGAACCATAAGCTTCGCCGACGACCTCTTGAAGTGTGAGCTGACGACGACCAATCCTTGCGTTGTCTGCGGCCGTGATTCTCGCACCCGTCCGGAATAAAGTACTGTACCCTTGTGCATTTTCAAAGTACCATTTCAAATAAGATGCTCATTCTATCGAATTATATACATGTAATACCTTTACTTTCTGCATGTCAAATACACATTGCTACCCTCATTTCTCTCGAGTTCACTACAACCGCCTTGCAAACACTAACGCCGAGAAGCGAGAAAAGACGTTTCTTAAGGGGGAGCAGAAAGCGTCACGCAAGTATTTTTTGAAGTACGTCAAACTCGAATTTAGCCAGGAAACTCTTTTATTAAAGGTCATTGTTAATTTAAAGTTTAAACTTTAATCAACAATAACCTCTTCAAAGACTCTAGACCTTTTTGCGGGCATTCGATAACTTAAAATGGGGGCGTTTCCAGCCCCGCCTCAAATTCATAATACCGCTTTAAATAGTAGACCATGGCAATACTAATTGAATAGTATACCGTGGTAGAACCCGTTAATATAGAGTTGGGCTTGTGCTATTTTAATATTTTTAGAATTTGCTGCGGTGAAATATGATTATTCCGTGAAACTTAATGCAAACAAATGCTACATGTACTACTATTATTTGGTAAATATTAAATGATTAAAGGCACTCTTTGCTGCACCCAACTGATAAAAATGTGACGAGGCTGCTGCAACCAACTGAAAAAATGTGACGAGGCTGCTGCAACCAACTGAACACAGCTCGCCTAGTACGAGCCCAGCTCGTGCCCAACGAACTCCCATACAGCTACGCGCCCAACTCAAAAAGCCAGTGCAAAATTGTGCACATCAAACGTGTATAGCCGGAAAGACACACTTAAGAATGTGCGCACCATGCCGAAGTTGAGCGCGAAGTTAGAGCGTTAGGTTTTCATGTCATCCCTTCCAACCAAAACAAACAAAAACGGCAGCAACATCACTTTAAGCAAAACACAGAGTGATGTGCTATTGGCTGAGCACCTACAAGTTGTTGTACAACTGGTTCCTTTCGCTTCGATAAGCATGCGTATGTAGCGGTATCGCAGAAGCTCTAATGTCTTTTGTCTAGCCAAGTTGCTCAGCAGCGAAACTGTAGGTACCGTAGCATCGACAACTTGCAAGCATTAATCTACGTCCACAGCACATGCATGCCATTAGACAACCTACCACCCAAATTACACAATGGTACCCAACTCAGACCCAACCCGGAGAAACTACAAATATCGCACCTGCACATCGCATTCAATAGACCTCGACCGCTGTCGCTTCCTCTTCCCCTGTCCTCGTGCTTTGTACTTACCAGCATGGGTACATACAAACGTCTTGCCGTAGTAAATCCATTTACCGGGAGGAATTGGCTGCTTCGAGCCGGGGTTTGCTCGAATTGTTCTGTTCCGGACCTCGACTTTGTTGTTCGTCCGGACTCTAAAACACTACATAAACACAATAAACAAACAATCCATCAGTAGTTATGTCACCTGTTATGTGAATCCTGGCTAGCAGCGATAACAAATTCAGTCAAGTGTACCTGATACGTTTCCTTTGAATACTGTTGAATGTAGCCCTCCAGGTCTTCCCAAGAATCAAATTGAGTGCGCTGAAGGGTTGGTGCCACTGTTGTTTGGTGGTGGATTCGCTCGAATCGGTGTGTACTGTGCTGGAAGTGGCCGACGACTCCTCGGTTGAATCTTTCCACTCCTCACTGCTACGCACGATACACTGAGGCTCGGAGTGGTCGCTTCGCGGGCTCCCCAAGCCTCCAGCACCGGCTGTATTTGACGCGCAGCAGCCCGCGCTCGTGGCTTCTATACTGCTCTCGCTGCCCCCCCCCGCCCCTCACTTTCGAAATGAGTGGTAGTTGACAATGATATATACAAATACATACTTAATGGATATCGAAATTTTTGTCGACCGGGCCTCTTCTGGAGTAGGGAAAAATCTGGTCGCGATTTACGACGCTGAGTTGGATGCACTACTCACTCCCATAATTAAAAAGACATTTAATAGTGGATATATCAGCCAGATTGTGCGTACAGACATGACCCTTTGAGACCATTTGTAGTGTGGTTTACACTGGGCCAGCTCGTTAAATGTTCGTTTGTGACAGAATTTTAGGCTGTTTAAATGGCGTATAAAATATCAAGACCATAACTTTTCATCTAGTACAATTCACACGCAATGGGGCTGGCGTGTATTGTCCGCGCACCAAACAGATGGACCCTCCTCGCATTCGTCTTCATTTACGAAGACGATGAGAGGAAGGTCCATCTGTTTGGTCTTTCTTATGACGGTAGAGGCATCCGAAAGTCCCGACAGTGTGACAGAAATAGGCTTACCAGGGGAAGGGGTGGCTACCGCCAAATCCGCGAAATGGAACGGCTTCGAATTCATCAATGCTGCTGGAAACGATGCTGCGTTTATTATCACAACTGGATTCGACGGTGTGATCTTTCACTTTATGTTAAAGCTATTTACTGAGGTCTGGGATCGTGTACCTATCCCTCGAGCGGATGTTGACATGGATGGAGTAAGCCGGTCGTCAAGGCGTTCCCTGTCACCTGTCGGGGCGCTCGGACTGGTGCTCCACTTCCGGAGCTATACAGTGGCTACGAAATCTCTCCTAGAGATTTTTGGAGTTACACCAAGCGTGTGCAGTCGCTGTCTTAGCTTTAGGCTGAAGATCCTGCTCGAAGCGCTGAAACTAGCCCTGGAAGGTAAGCTTTTTTGGCTCAAAACATGAGGTTATTGAGTACTTTTCGGGTCTTATTGTCTACCGTCGCCTGGGTCTTGCTGGCGTGTTCTGCTTAATCGATGGAGTCAAGATACCTGTTGCTGAGTCTCTCGACGAAGATACACAAACTCGCAGTCTGTATCTTGACTCTTGCACCGACGCATCCTGGGTGGACAAGATGCGCTGAATCTATTGATCGCCACGGCGCGCTGCTTAATCTTCCGTGTGACGGGTCCACAAACTCGCTCCACTACCGCGGTTGACCCGATTCTTGTAGCCAACGCCTTGCTTGCTACTGCGCTGAAGATCCTAAGGTTGGATTTAACTGGTCAAACGGCTTTGCTTGGAGCTACTAGATGACGTTGCTTGAATTGTCAATTGAGTTGAAGATGCCTCCATAGCTGTATCTGACTCTTAAATCGAAGGGCACGAATTCAGACAAGTTTCACGGAGAAAACGCGAGGTTCACATTCACAGAAATGATAATCACACAAAGTCTAAGTCGATTTGCCGACTTTCTGCTACCCCCAAACCTATCTCAAGCGCTGCATCGGAGCCCCATCTCTAGCCCACAGCGCCGCAATGCGGCGGTGTGAAGATAACCCAAATGTCATGTACATAGGCTGTGTGGCTGCTAATGCCACACGGATAATCTCATTTCAATCTTGCCAGCACTACCGTCAACGCCACGGCTCGGCTCGGCTCTGGGCTGCGATCCGCTTCTACACGCGCACGTACTATGCCGGGGCTCGCCAGATACCATGGAGTACTGTTTATGGCTTTTGTGGCAGGCGACCCGCAAGGGCATCGCGGGTCGGTAGTCCTTCAAATCGAGGAGGAAGTTGAGGCAGACTATCCAATCGTGGTGGACACTGGCGAGTTGATTTCACGACATATGATGCTGAAGACATCTGTAGACCGGTTTGGGAACCGGTTCAAGCCAGCAAATGCACTTTGGCGGAGGTGCTTACGCTCAAATACGTTGATTCCAGGGCAATGTTTAGCTACTGCGCGATCTAGCGCCTTCATCAATGCCTTGTCGGGCATTATTCAAGGCGCCGTGATGCGTGAGCGTCGTGGTGGGTGTGAGGAAACAGTGTAGAAGGGTTTACATCTGGACGAGGAGTCAGATGAGGTGGTGCCGACAAATGACGTAGGTGCTAAGACCGCAATAAACCGCAATCTATCTCGCAAGCGCAAACATTATGTGAAGTGGGCTATAACGAGCAGTGGGACTCAAATCCACCATGCGCATTCCGCTAAAGCCATCAAGATTATGGATCTTCTTAATGTTCCGGAAGTCAAGATAAGACTGGCTAATTTACATGCTCGTCGACCTGTGTACGAGGAGCGAAAAAAAAGGTCGTGCGTTGTTGACGGAGTGGTGCCCAGCAGATGGAATCGAACCTATAAAAAAGTGTAGCCAATGGAATCCGCTTCCCCGATCTTGGCACTTTCCATAAGCGCCGCTGTGTCGGGGACTGCTTCTGAGACACCTGCGAAAATGTGCAAGCCGTGGTCTACTGCACCAGTAGCTGCTGTAACCTGAGCGGTTGTTCCAGTAATGCGCCTAGAGAGCGTACGACACTGAGATTGTTTGACACTGGTCAAGTAGGACTGGGCGTGTACACCACAACCTTCCTCGACGTTGCGGACATGATTGACTAGAGAGCTCAGTGAGTGGTCCGCTTTGGTGGCGGGTCAGCCTGACCAAGCCCGTAAGTAGAATAGCAGGTACACTCGACTCTACCATACCAAATCGGTGATGAAGAAGATCGTTTACGTGGATGCTGTCAAGAGCGGGTCCATCACAAGGTTCATAAGCCACGCTTGTGAGCCGAACGCTGTATTCGATGAGATGCTGAGCCGCCGCAGCGTTAACAAATTTGTGAGGATGATCAAGAATATGAAGGTGGGCGCTGAGATAACAGCTAAATACGGAAATGAAAGATGATTTGTCTGCGCTTGTGACGACCGCTGGTAAGGTGAGGTGGATAATTGGGTGAGCGCAACACTTTCGTGAAAAGTCCTCACTCGTAGCCAGGCAAGGGGTTTAACGAGAATACAT